GGGGGTCGGCGGCTGCAGGCGGTAGCCTGGTAAATATATATATATATACACCTGAGAAAAGAGAGGACGAAAGCCAGCGAGAGACCAATATGATAATGCCAGACTGGGAGGAAAAAATAGCGGAGCACTTATTGTTGAATGCCTGTCGCTTTCGTGGAGCTTGTATCAACGTGGAGTAGGTCAAGATCGGAGCACAGCATGAAGTGTTGAATGTTTTAGGTTTTCTCGATTTTCCTGGCGCGGTGCTCTCTGGAGCGTCCCTGCTTGGTGGTCTATTTGAGAACCCATGTAAAAATAAACGTCAGTGAAGACCAGGAGAAGGATGCCCGAAAGATGTTTTTTTGTTGTTTTGAAATCTGTTTCGGGCATCGTGCAGCAGTGCGAAGCCCTATAAAGAGCAGGACTGGAAGAAAGAAAAGAGGAGAGCACTCATTCGGTTGTAGTTTTCGTGGAGCTGGTATCACTGCGACGTAGATGAAGATCGGACCCCAGCATGAAGTGTTGAATGTTTTAGTATTATTGATTTGCTTGGCACGGCGCCTTCTGGAGCGTCCCCTGTTGGTGTTCTATTTGAGAATCCGTGCAAAGATAAACGTCAGTGAACACCAGGAGAATGATGCCCGAAATGGTGTTTGTGGTTGTGTTGAAATGTGTTTTGGGTATCGTGCATCAATGCGAAGCCCTATAGAGAGCAGGGCTGGGAGGAAAAAATAGCAGAGCACCTATAGTTGAAACCTTGTAGTTTCGTGGAGCTGGTATCACTGCGACGTAGATGAAGATCGGAGCACAGCATGATGTGTTGAACGCTTGCAGCTTTCACTGCACATACTCACATCGTTCGCTCCCAGCGCGTTCACTCTTTGTTGCTTGGTCCTTCTTGGTATGATCAGAGCGCTACACAGTCCCTGTGCCCTGCTCAGGACTAGAAAAAGAGCCTCCACTTGCGCACTATGATTGCCACCGCAAGCCCGGCCGCTCTGCAACACGATGGCGCACTTGTGCTGCTCATCGCATGGATCCTTGGGGCTAGAAGCTGGCGCACAAGGGTTGGCCGTTCCTCATGTACTTGGTGAGCAGCTTGTTGTTGATAGACGCAGGCATGACGGAGACTCCGGCGACCCCTTCATGATGCTAATGATGCACTACTCAGCGTCCATTGCATCACTCGCATCACCAGACCCCATTTTTACTCTCGCTTTGGAGCGCTCTCCCCCACCAAGTTCCGGGTTCACCCTCTAAAAATGTGCCTTTTCGCACCCTCCCCCCCACACCCCCTTAACTCACTTCGTTCGCTCTAAGAGCTCAAGCCTAGCCTATCGGCTGGCTTTCGTAATATATATCTTTGTGAATGATCAAGTTGCCATCCTTAATGATAATCATAAGACAAGACAATTTGGTCTAATATCAAACTCCACTGATTGTCTGACCAACTTCAAGGGGAGAAGCGTCCAAAAAGAGGGCTCACCATGGGTGACCGATGTTCTTTGTCTTTCTTCATTGCAAGACACGATCCAACAACCGTCTTAAGATGAGAAGGAAGGATCCTATAGATGATCATTGTTATCTTGGGATCTCTCTGCTCTTTCAACCCATGTCACATAAGACCGGGCTATCAGGCTGTCCGGCCTGTGAACCCGTAGCCAATTTATGAGGAGGACCTTAAGTCTGATTCTTCTCAAGTATTTTTCCTCTATATTTCTTCTCTTCTTCTTCGCCTTTCGAAGAAGAAGTTCCTGGGATTGGTCTTCGCTCGATGCTCTTGGCGGCGTTCGTCCGATTGACCGAAGTGATGGTCGTCTGTTTTGGGGTTTGGTCGTATGTTTTCAGCACATCGCCAAACCACGCATTGGAACATCATCAACAACCTGGGTTTGACTTCTTCGGTCCATTGCCTGTTCGCAAGTCCTTTGTTGGGGGGGATCCTTGAAAAGGTGAAACAAATCTGTACCAAACGAACCTTCGAATGCCTGGCGCTCGGTTCATCCTGGCTTCGGTGCTTCAAAGTCGAAGACCAACTCACCGCGTGGAGTGGCTGCGACAGTGCCTTCCTTGTTGTAGCCACGGCGGCGAGAGAATTGAGTTAGGGTCTGTTGACTGCCATGGTTCACCGTGACCTTGTTGTTGATGCTGTTGGTGTTGGTCAGCTGCTTGATGGAGTATTTGTAGTCCTTGTTGGGATTCAAGCCTTCCACCACCGCCGTGGAAATGCCCGGCACATCACGGACAAAGCCCATGCCGCTCTGCAAATAGGACCAGCCAAGGAGCTTGATGGTGGACATATTGCCAAAGGGCTCGATGTAGGTCACATCTCGGCTTTTGGTTCCGGTGGAGTTGCCCGTCCATGAACGAAGACCTCCCACATTCATCACCACAGCACCACGTGTGTAGGACGGTGAGACGCCCTCCTTCTGTGTCAAGAACTGCTTCCGAAGGCTCGTCTTCCAGCAGCCCTCAGGGTTCGCGACCTGACAGCTCGCATTGTGGGGCAAGGCATAGAGATCGCCTTCCATGCCGAACTCACGGACCAAGCTGTCACATCCTGCCAACCCCCATGACGCACAAGGCACCATGCCCTCCCGAAACGGCAGGCGCGACAGGGAAACATGAAGCGTCGCCGAGGGGTGACACTTTCGAGGGACCGAAACCAGAGACTACAGACGGCTGGGGCAGAGTGAATCGCCATGGTAAACCGGTGACCACAAGTGACCGAGACTTCTTCATCACCTCAGGCCCTCTCCTTCATAGAGTCGACAGGTGGTTGCACCATGCGAGGTTCCCGTCCAGTAGAAGGTACACGTCTTGAAGTCTTTGCATCGCTCCTGCGCTGCAAAAACGCGCATCATGCGCCAGAAGATCAATGAAAACCGTCCAAAACCGATGCCTCTCATGGCGTTCTTGGTGAGTACCCTCTCCGTTGAAGCTGGGTGTTTCATATGAACATGATGTGGAGTGATGCTTGTGAAACGGGGGGGGATGGTCTTTTGAGAAAGGCACGGGCGCAACAAAACGGTTGCTCCCGACGTCCAGCACATCTGCTTTTGGCATCTTTTGGCCAAGGTAGGAGTTAGTCAAACACGTCCACACATCCAGCTAGCCTACCACGCTAGCTCCCACTTCGACCATATACATGCTGGACATCATTTCGTTCTCCGGGCCCAAACCATAGAATACCCCTCCACGCTACTAGGGGCTCCTGGCCTTACTACCGGCTTGTTGCATCTCGCTTCGTTGCCCGCCTCGCAGTCAGAGGGTTCCATGGATTCAGCTTCCGACTCAAAGTGGATGCCCGCAGCACCCTTCAGAAGCTGGCGAGAAGGGCAGGCGAACTGGCCTCAACAGCGCCAGGAAATTGCGCCCCTGCGCCAGCTCTACGGGGCCCCCCCGCCCCAAATGAATGAGCGCAGCGTCCGTCAGAGTTGATAGGGCAACAGAAAGCCCGGGCCTTTCCAAACAAGGTGAGCTGACCGAGGTTTGCCAAGCTGAAATACTTGTTAGGAGCTGCCAGTGATGACCCGAAAAGAATCCGGTTGCCAGGACATCGACCCACGTCCCACGACCCAAGAAACAAGCACCCGGGAACGGATGGACGGCCTGAGACGATGAGGAAGGGCGGTGGCACGAAGGCTCCATTGCTGGCCGGGGGGAGATTCTCCAAGCTCATGGCATCTGCTGGCCAAGCGCTGCCCCAACCCATCGGCAAGCAGTCACAGGGGTGCAACCAGAAGTCATCTGGCTGGGTGGTGCTGGGGTCATCGAAGATCAAGGGTTGGAGCTGCTCCTGGGAACATCAACTGCACTTGAGTGCGGTGCTGAACCATCTGTGTTACACATGTGGAAAGGCAGCAAGATACCAAATCTCCAAAGGAATGCCGTGAGTGAATGTGGGTGCAACACAAACATCTATAGTTCTGCAAGTCTTGAACCTAGAGCTCTGCTTTCAACTCAGATTCTCCGAATTTGTCCGTTCCATCTCCATTTTCCTCACACCCTGCCAGACCAAAAGTCCTGGTGGGTTTCCCCCAACCCGGAAGCTCTCCGCTCCTCCTCCGTTTCTGGGAACAAAGGCCGTCCACATGCCAAGGTCGCATAGTCCAGGTGCACATCACCCTTCTTGCTTGGGAGACCAGGGTCTAAGCAAAGTTCCTCAGCCCCTGGCGCGCCCGCGCGGAATCGGACTGTTCAGAATCAGGCTTGCTCCGGAGAAGTGGGGCTGCCAGCGTCTGGTCCCAACATGCTCAAAAGCAGAAGCTGAGGGCTCCAACTCTGCTCAAAACATGTTCAAGGAAGCAATGGCCAAAACAAGTTTTACACCAGTCTTGATGAAATTCTGATCGAGAATGGGTTGATGACACCCAGAAGCTGGAAACTGGGCACGAACACAAAAGCTGCTACGTATTTTCCCCCTAAGTTTTTCAGACCATAGCTGAATCATGCATGAATGACTCATCCAAGTGTTTCAGAACCTCTTTCTAGAAGCATTTTCGTCCAAATCTTTTGACAAGTTCCACAGTCAAACCCAACCCCAGCCACCCTGTGCCTTTGAGTTCAAAGTAGCCCAACTGCTCATCCACAAAGTCGCTCTTGTCCGCGCGGGTCACCAACCAATTCCCATTGGCGCAACTGGAGGCTCCCTTCGCTGCGGTCAAGTACATGACTTCCTGGCACAGCTGGAGCACAGCTGGACAGGGGAGATGGAGAAATTCCGGACCCAAGGTGCAAAAGCGGCTGAGAATCTCTTGATCAAACCAATCACCCTTGATCAAACCTGCCACATCATTGCGAGCCAGTTGCAATTGATCTGCAATCGTCAGGCTTGCGCTCTCACTTACCCACTCAGTCCTCTTCGATGGAGCTCTGCTTTCGGTACACCACGTTGCGGGTGAAATCCGGAAAAATTGTAAACTTGCAGCTGTCCTCAGCAAAGTTGGAACCCGGATTTGCATTGCGTGGATATTCATCCACTGGAGTGAAGCGGAGACATTTGTGTGATTTGTCACTTCAGCTGTGGCAACCACGGGCTAGGTCGGATTCAACAAAATACTAGTGTCAATGTCTTCCGAAAGCGCAGACTAGGTCCTGTTCGCTGGGAGTGACTGAAGCAACTGTCTTTGGTATTATGCTTGTTCTGGCACCCTCCGTCTTCCAGCAGTTACTGAGTTACTGTAAACACATGTGGAAAAACGTGTGTCCTCCAGGTCTGGGGCTGTCGGTCATCAACCAAGGCGCCAAGCCCTTGACGATCTTGAAGGTCTTCACTTTCAGCTTCTCCCGTCCATAAAACCTCAACCCAACGTGCGATCTCACGCCGCTGAGCGGCCGAGCGTGGCGCGGTCCAGTGAGTGGTGAAGCCGGTTTTGAAGGATCACTGCTGGCTCGATGGGTGAGGTCAAAAATTGGATTCACCATGGAGTCACTTGCATAACTTCTTCATGAACATACTTCAAACGCAACATTTGTGAGCGCCATAACTCAACTACCTCTCCCGCTTGCGGGACACCCTGTGTCGAGTTGCTGCGGAAAAACGCGAAGATTTGGATCAATGTGGGTCATGTAGGTCACGTCGCCACCATCAACAGTCCCAGAAATGAAAAGTGCATGCAAAACCATGGGTTAGGTGGTTTCCTCTCTGAGAAACCTCGAAACACCTACTCCCTCCCCACGACGAGTTCATTGATCAAGCTTGGTTTTTGACGTGGCCGCCACACACTAAGTCCACTCACAGGGACTGCACCACGCTGGCACCCGCCGGTGCGGTGAGCTCCGGCGACTGCGAAGGGCTCCAGTCCCAGTCGGAGGTGGTCCCCGTGTGCCACACACTTTTGGAGCCCACGCCCTGACAAGCTCGACAAACGCGGAGGGGGTTAGTCCTCTGACAGTCCTCCAGTAGGCCTTGAAACATGCCAGGTTCTTCATCAACTTTCCCGGCTTTAGACAGAAAGGCAATTGACTTGACTCCAGATGAGTGGAAGTGGTCAGACCAACTAGCGCGATTTCACAGGCATCAATATCACCCGGAGGCACTCGGAAATGTCCAGAACACTCTTACCACGATTTCATCTGCAAAGGCCTTCAGCTTCGCTTGGCATCCACCATTTTCATTTAAGACCTAAATATTAAATATACCACCCAAAAAAAAATATATATATATATATACCGGGGGGGCGAAAACCAGCAGCCGCCAGACAAGTGTCTCTTTTTCTGGCGGGCGTCGCGGCACAAGACACATGGTCGGCAGCTTTGGAGTCAGCGGTGCCGCGGATGCGGGGGGGGACGTATGTAATGGTGATGGGGGGTGCAGAGAAGCAAGCCGGGCGGCTTTGGGATAAGTTTGGTATGAAAGAAGTAGTGAAAGAGAAATGCGATACGTTGTATGTTGGTGTGGGTCATCATCACAAGGCAATGGCATGTGTCTGTCACACGCAGGAAGGTATGCATCTTATGGAAGTTGGAAGGCGACATCAGCGTTAGCGCGGGAAATACCGTCTGAGTTCGAGTGGTGGGATACTACGTGCGCGCGCTTGGGAACACCTTCTCCATAGTCAGCGTCGCCGCGCGCGCCGCACGCCGCGCGCGAGTACGGCATGCGTTTGCAAAAGAAGCAGTTATGTGTTTGTTACATTTGGAGCGTCTGAAGTTTGCAACGCATACTGCGGCTCGTCGGAAAGCGGCATTCGTCGATTTGGAAGAGTGAACGGGCACGTCTTAGCCGGGACACGGGCGTTCGATCCCGCGGCGCAGAAAAGTAGCTTGGGCCAGCAAAGGAGTGAAGATTTGTGCGCCTATCGATGCACATGCCTGGACTTGAGTGAGTCATGTTCTGGCTCGATCCAAAACACAGTCTCTTTCCTTCAAAGGGGCCTTTATCAAACGATCCAAACACCTTCTTTATTCTTCTCTTTCTTATCAACTCTGCGCCTTTCTCACTCAGAGTCAGAGGCCTTGACTTTGGCACCTGCGTGCGTAGATCTTTGGACCGTGGACCCAGGCTGACTGGATTCGGCCAGGGCTGCCAGCAAAAAGGCGACGTCATGAGTCAGTGGTATATAGAATTTATTTATCTATCTATCTATCTAGCGATCTATCGATCTATCGATCTATCTATCGCTCTATCTGCACCGGCAAGCCGGAAAAACGTTCGGTGCGTGTGGACGGCGAGAAGCATGAGGACATGGTGTAAGTATAGTTTTTGCTAGGGGGCAGGAACCCTATGCGGGTATGTTCTCGCAGGCATCCCCACCGAAACTCAATTTGGAAAATGGACTTGAACTCGTGTCACTTTCGGTTCTCTATCGATTCGTGAGTTGCGTATCCTACATGCGGCTGCGGTCTGCTCTGTACGCGGGTCCCTGTCGCCACTCGATTGCTCAATGCCCATTGTCCAAATAGCCTGCAAAGCCCTTCATGATGCTAATGATGCACCACTCGGCGTCCATTACATCACGCGCATCACCAGACTCCATTTTCACTGCTTTTCTGACCCTCGCTTTGGAGCGCTCTCCCCCACCATCCTCAGCGACCACCCCCCCCACACCCCCTTAACTCACTTCGTTCGCCCTAAAAGCTGAAGCCTAGCCCAACGGCTGGCTTTCGCAATTATATACATAAAGGGCTCCAGTATCTCCACACCATCGCTCTATTCAGTTCCTTTGCCCCTTTGCATCGAACTCTGGGACGAACTAGGACCCCCCTTCCTGTCGGGCGGTCTCCACCATTTCCAGGCCTTGATCTTTGCCCAGAAGGAATCCTGGTTGCCATCCGGCGCAATGATCTCGGCTTGGAACTTCACCTTCATAAGGTCCCCGTGCTGCCCGCGCAGCACAAAAAGAACAAAGCAAAGCACCACAAAGCAAAAGTTAATCTTCTCAAAGACCTCTGACAGGTCTTATTTCTAACTGGTTGGAGGCCATCGCTAGTATGTTGGAGGCCATTGCTCTTAGGTTGGAGGCCATCGCTGTCCTTCTTCAACCGGTAACGACGCTAACGAACCTAACGAAAAGCTTCCTCTCCCGCCTTCGTCTCAACCAAGCAAGTCAGCGGAAACTCCATAACGCCGCAGTCTTGGGTCGCCGAGTAGCAGGTTCCCTTCGTTTGCTCCATATAGCTACCTGGTGATAAAGAGAATCCCTAGCAACAATAGAGCTTGGAGGCCATCGCTCTAGGTTGGAGGCCATGGCTCTATTCGGTTGGAGGCCAGACTCTAGGCCAGGATCTCAAATGTTCAGATCGGGTATGCCTGGAAAACTATCAATGCCCATTCAAAGCACATCCAACCCTGAAGCAGCTGGGCCTTGCTTCTGGAAGTCCCCCTTCACATAGGGTGCCTGTATAGCACGCACCGCTCCAGAGATGGTGTCAGGCTCAGCCTCGTCCGCAGTTCCGGCGCGTGGTTTTGGGAGTCTCAAGCCATCCATCCATATCTATCCTATACGATTTGCACACAGCTGATCAAGGGTGCTCCGACTAAACAACACAAACACAGTTGAACATGTTCTTCACATAGTCATCATATGCAGCGGACCAGATCCCAAAATCCAGATTTACTGCACGTTCTTTCTGATCGTGTTGGAGACCATCCCGTCTTCGCTCCTAAGATGCCTAGAAATGCTCTGAAGCATCGGCAGAAGTGAACCAAGTTGCATCTAAACACCTCAGTGGACTTCGGTGGCAGGAATGGTATCCTTTTCCGTGCCCTTTCTCCGGGTTCTGACCAGCTTCTCGCACTGGACAGTCGGTTTCCCACATGGGCCGAAAGTCTCGAATCATTTCCTTCAACCAACCATTTCTCAGTCCTCTGAATAGATCCAAAACCGGTTGACCTACCTGGTCAAGTTGGTGGACCATGGCTCCAAGTTTTGACTCACCATATGAAGCTTGTGAGGTCTCTTCGTCGAGCCCAGACCAGACCAGACCATCTCCGCGTGGTGCCTGACGGAAGGCCACCGGACAGTAGTCACCAGCAAGGACCTCAGTCGCGACGGGCTTCCTGTGCGATGTCCCACGATGAGCCGGCTCTTCAGAGCTGAACCAGATTGTGAGGAATATGAATATGCTTCTTGTTACGTTCGTAGCAATGGCCTCCAACCTAATAGCGATGGCCTCCACCGTGCGCAGCTTCTAGTTACTAGGGTGTCAAAACATTGCATTCTCCGAGGAACCAAATAGATTATGTACCCTATCTTTTCACCCTACCTGTTCACTGTTTCACCACTCAACCTCTGCGCGTTCACTCAACCGGTGCGAACTAGGATGTGGACCCACTTGGGATGCTTCAGCCGCAAGCAGGTATTGAGATCTGCACAGCCCGTGACTTTGGCATATGCCGTGACATCAATACCACCCTCATTCTCAATGCGGTAGTGCTTGCACTTGTCCTGCGCCAATAAACAGTTGCCATGTCGTTGTCATTAATCTTGGAGTTGGGGAAGGCACCCCATGGGCTGCGACAATCCGACCACACGAGTCTGCACTTGACCAGATCGGCTAAGCACTCACAAAGATGCGGGTCAAAAGTGCAACCTGCAAAGAATCAGCCCTGCCAAATCACGCTTCTACCCTGCACAAAATCTTGAGGCGATTCCCCTTTCGAGATCAACAGTAACTTGGCCTGCAACCCATCCTTCCAATGTCCTAGACCCGCAACACCGCGGGAAAACCGCATGAGGACCTGGTGCGGAGGTCCGGTCCTCGCCCCAGGTGAAGTGGGAGCACTTCTTGGACATGCGACAGGTGTTCCGGCACTGGGACTCTTGCAAGACCTGCGTCTCGGAGACCACTGAGCCTTTGAAGCTCTCCGAGATCCAGCACACGCTGTCCTCGAAGGAAGCGCCATCCTTTGTGACTCTAGCTGAGTGACTGGGGTGTAGCTAAAGGGATGTGCAGATTTGCAGGGACATTTTAATGGAACAGATGAAACTCCAAGAAAGCCCTAAAAGCGATCCATGGAAACGTCTTCAAAGAAACAGAGTGACTCCGCGCGAGTGTTTGCCGTGTTAGCAAATGTCAGTACGTCCTTGATTCGGATCATGAGAGGAGTATGAAGTGCTGGGAAGTCTGAGCCAGGGAAACTGCCCCACACGCCACAGCTCAGCAACACCGACTTCCGTTGCAAGTTGTCGGCCAAGACCTCGTCAAACAGCTTGGCCATAGACTCACCTGACAGGTTTCTGCACAACGAGAAAACGCAAAGAGGACGCTACTAGGAACAAGAAGCTACTAGTAGGTCTTTGAAGCTTTCTAGTAACTAGAAGCTACTCGGTGGAGGCCATCGCGATTAGGAGCAAGAACGCTACTAGGGGCGCTCCATCCTGAAGTCCAAGAAATTCGGATTTGAGTCATCTCCCAATCTCCCACTCTCCCATCCTCCCATCCAGCCTGGCGCAATAGAAATGGTGCCATCTGGTTGAACCTCCAAGATCTCATGCGAGCCAAGCAACCCCACGCCCCAAATGCTGTCAAAGGACCAGTTCGGCGCAGGCCGGCCGTCCCCCGCCCAGTCACCATCGACGATGCAGGACACCTGGAAGGATGAAGGGCGTAGGCCACCCACGCTCTCCTCGTATCCTAAGGACCGTGACGGGGTCGAACACACGGATCCAAAAGGACCCCGAACGCTACGAACGGGGCTCCCGGACGTACTACTAGGAACAATCAAGCTACTAGGAATATCCCAAGGAATCGGGGGGGGTAGGCGGCGGAGGTAGCTAGGGAGTCGTTAGTAGCTTACTTAAGCTACTAGGAACTGGATGCAGAATAGCTCGCGCTAATGATCTGGCTCCTAGATTTTTAGGGAAGCTCGGCTGTGGGTCATGGCACCAGGATACGGACCGGTTGACCTACCTAGAAGGTCCTGCTGTTTGTCACAGACGGACCAGACCAGACAGACGCATCCCTGGTTTCTGAGGTGTTCAGCATGGAAAAAGTGAATCGCGAGACAACGACCGGTGCCTCGTTTAAACGAAAAACGAAATGGAAGAACGAAGCACGTTTTGAGCATTTTTGAGCCATGTTTCCCAAGGGGATTCGGGGCTTCAGTGGCTTCACTTCTTCACCCACCACGACCTCCAGGTAGTTGCTCTCATAGGAAAGGCCTGGCCAAGGCTTCGGCTGCACAGCCACAAAGGTGGAGCTCCTCTTCAAAAACTGGCCGCCTTCCTGGCACGCTAAAAACAGAACACGTGTCTTTTTTCGCCTAGTTCAGGTTTCCATGCGAAGTATGGACAGCAAGTACAGCATGTGCCAACTGAACCAAGGCAGCAATTCACTTTAAAACGCAAAAAAGCAGTGCTACCGGTTTCTTTCCCTCTACCAACCCACATCGACCCTATTTCCGCCACATATATGTTCCCTGGCCTTCTGGTATCCGGAGACCACGCAGACAGCCCCATCCATCCCCACGTAGTCTCCATCGCCGCTCTCGGCCTCCGTGATCGCGCCCCTGCTGCCGGAGGAAGCACTCAGATGGCCTGAGTTGGAGATGCTGAGCCACGGAGCCTCAGTGCAACTCGAAGGTTTCAGAGGAAGAGTGCGTAACGGCAGTCTCCCTTATTTCCTGGGACCACACGTCCCTGGTTTGAAGTTGACCAACCACCATGTGGATAGTTTGGGTGAAAGAAGGTGTGGCAACCACAACACGATTTCACACACGGACCCCTGCCTTGCCTCGGGTGCGCAGACCATGCTGTAATCCTTCCATTCTCCACCGGAGGTGGTCAAACTGAAGGACTGCACGGTGGGAGAGAAGATCAAAGCACTGGTCCCGTAGGTCAGGAAGTCCACCGCAACAGAAACCTTCGACGTCTGCACTAGTCCGACACCCTGATGAGCGGTGACTTCGCATTGGATTGAGAATGGCTTCGTGGGCTTATCACGGGAGGCAATGTAGTGGATCTTTCCGGTCTCTCCATCCATGGTGAGGTTGTGGGCAGCAAAGCCACAATCAGCATTCAAGGAATACCTCTTGGCAGTGCGAGGTGTGGGTGCCAAATCCACGGCAGCACCCACCACAAAGCGGGTGTCCGGGTATTTGAAAGGCGTTGGGCTTTTGTGGCCCCCCTTACAAAGACAGCAAGCTTGGTTGCTGCTTTGGCCGTTCACTGGTCGGTCATTGCATCCGGTCTCATCGATGGCATCACAGGTGGCACCAAGCTCATTGGTCCACCCTGCGGTGCCAATGCATGCCACACAGACCCCATCCTCCATGCCATAGCCATCCAGGCACTTCTGACACTTTCCGGAGGCATAGCTCGCACAGCCTCCACATGACAAGGAGTCTGCGGGACAGCAGCTGGAGCTCGACGAGTTCACCACGAAGTTCACCAAGGTAATACCGGAGCAACTGGAATTGGTAAAGGTCCTCAGGTCACCCAGGTCATGACTGTCTCAGGTCATGACTGTGTCCTTTCATGGAATTGAAAATCACAGCTGCAAAGTCCATCCATCTGCCATGTATTGGCAGTCCGCTGCTGCCCTATTGAAGTCCATGGTGTCTCAGCTGTTGCCCGCAACCCACAAAGCGAAACCTGTTTCGTACATCCGAAACATCGACACCCATGCCTTAGGAGCAAGGACGCTAGTAGGAACAAAGGGAATCGCTACTAGTAACAAGTGCATCGCTACTAGGGGCTCCTGGCCTTACTATGCATTGGCAGCTGAAGAGAATCCAAGGAATTCATGCTTTGGCAGCAAACGAGCACCCTTGCTACGTTCGTAGCGTCCTTGCTCCTAAAGTAGCGATGGCCTCCAACCTAATAGCAATGGCCTCCACCTAGTAGTTCTTGTTCCTAGCACCACACCGGTTTTCGAAAAACGAAGCCCATTGTCTTCCTCTTCCAAACCTCTTCCGGCCGGGTCTCGTTGTCTTCGTGAACATCTGGCTCTGGATTTTGGCCGCCAACGCCGGTGGCGGCACATTCCCCGTCCGAGCCGCACTGCGCGCCAGGCAGTGCTTGGCCAAGTCCGAGTGGTTGGAGGAGCCTCCAATCCGCTACCCCAAAGCCAAAGCTGATTGGCAGGACGAGTTCAAGTTTCTTTTGGGATCCTGACTCCTGTTCGCAGTTGTCTGTTCAACATGGGCTTCGAAAAGTGGGGCGTTCTCATTTTCGAAGAGACCCGGCTTCTTTGGGCTCCTGTTCCGTCTTCGGTCCCGTCTGCTTTCTCAGACCAAGTCTCCTTCATACCGAGGCTCCGTCACATCAAACCTCGGTGGACCAGCTCAAAGCATACCCGCCCAGTCAAATGCTTATGTAGAATCGTGTAGAAGAGTGAACCATGTGAACCATGTGAAACAATTTCTTCTGTGGAAAGGTTGGCTTTGCTCCTATCACTAGTGAACGTTCTGAATCGCTCTCAAGCATGAATCGCTCTGAGCGGTAAGAATCTGGCAGACTGACAGGAGAGCAGCATCTTTTCACACACAAAGCATCTCAAAGCCTTCGGTACCTTCCAAGCCTTGGACCCGCTCTCCTATCTCCGGACCCCAGTACCCGACTTTAGCCCCGCCGGAGCGCCGGTATTCTGCCAGATCGATCTTCTGTCTTCTGGACCTCGGATCGATCGGACGATGGACGTCGCGTCCCAACCTGTTTCGACCACAAACAATTTGGAGACATAGGAACCCAGAAGACCTTGATCTTTCTTGATACAAATCACTTCAACACGAAAACGAGAGAAAACGACCCCGGTCCCGTGGAGTATGGGTGCCCCGGCTGAAGTAAGGCGGCGCCGGTCGCTACGACCGGCTCGTCACACTCTGGTTCTAGCTCCGAGGTGAAGGCACAGCACCATAGAGTGGCGGTGACCTGAAGTCATGAACACCTGTCCGTCACACCACCAATCTGTTGCTTCCAGAGGCAAGTCCACTTTAGCACCATCGAATCCGGTCGAATTCTGGATTTGGCTGTGGAGTGATGGTTTGATGCCACAGTTGTTCAGCCAGATTGTGAAATAGACAATGATCCCTTTGTGATCAGCCACCTTTTCGGAAGATTCCAAGTGACCATGGCCTGACACTTTCCGGGTGGAGAGTCCTGCCAATCACAGCCGGTATCGGTCCGTTTGTTCGGCTGAAACAGAGACCGTTCCACCGGTATCGGTCCCCGAAACAAGCCCATCAAAAGGGTCGTGAGTGTATCCCCAATCCAACCATCCAAAAAAGGCCTATCTTCAACATGTTGCAAAGGACCCGTTTGCATAAAAATGTCAATCAAAAAGCACAGAACACCTTCTTGCAGGATAGGAACAAAGAAAGAATGCCCGAAGGCACGCATCGGTGAGTAGGAAAGGCCGATTCTGCCAAAGAATGATAGAATGAGCCACAAGCTGTTGCTACGGAATCAAGTTGTTCTTCATTTGTTCCACGCAGTCAAATCATGTCAAGGTACAACGAAGAAAGCTCCATGCGCATGAAACAAATAAAATGAGATTTGGCTCCGACTGAGTTTTCCCATGCAAGCATAAAGCTGAACACACATGTTTATCCAGCAAGGAGAATGCACCTGCTTCCAAAACCAATTGGTATCCCTCACTATCCAATCCAAATGAAACAGTGGCCCACTACAATCAAGTCTTTCTAGGCTCCAAACAAGGACTCAACGCACTCCTGTTTCGTAAGCCATGCACGATGCCCTTTCTGGAGACCTGTCACGTCTCCTTTGCACAATATGTCGGCTATTTGCCTTCATCTGTCGGCATTCATTTCAGAGCTAAAGATGCTGCGAGTTCAAATGGCAGACCTTCCAGGAACTGCGATCTCGCGGCCAAATAAGCACTGCCCACTGCCACTCAGGCGCTAGCAGGACCAGCCCTCCTAAAGAACGAGAAACTGCACAGCGGCTAAGGAACTGGATTCAGGGAGTGAAGTGAGTGATGCAAGTGACACAAGGCAGCTTGACAACTTCTGCAAAGACTGAGCCGTCTCAAACGTCCAAAGGTTTGCTACTAGTAGTTTCTTTCTACTAGTAGCTTCTTGCTACTAGTAGTAAGGTACCTTGCTACTAGTAGTGTCCTTGCTACTAGTTTACAGAAAGCCATGGATCAACCTTCTTCATCTGTTTCTAACCCGACCAACACTGGCTTCTAGTGGGGAAGAACTGGAACGAACCCGCCCGACCTCTCCTGAAAGGGGCGAATATCAATCTCGTTGGACCATCCCAAGGGCGACTGCTGTGCCAGCGCAAAATATGTCTCAGCAATATCATCCGTACAACCCATCCTGCCGGAGACGGTATCAGATAAAACTGGAACTTAAATCAAATGTTGACAAAGAAAATCATTGTTCCAACTTGTCGAGTATTGGTGAGTGGCTGGCCATGAAATCATGAAATCATTGCTATTAGAAACAATAAGCTACTAGGAACAAGTGCATCGCTTCTAGTAACAAGTGCCTTACTAGTAGTAACAAGAAGCTACTAGGAACAAGTGCCACGCTACTAGGAACAGGTGCCTTACTAGTAGTAACAAGAAGCTATTAGAAACAATTTTTCGATCACCCCAGGTCTTGTGTGCTGCGTACATGTCGGGCATCTTCTTCTGGTATCCCGGCGTATCCAGGACACAGTCAAGTCGTACATGGACTGAATGGATGCCCTGCTTGCCAAACTCTTTGGCGATGGACTGCGACAAAGCACGCAGCGCAAATTTTCCGCAAGCGAATTGGGCAGTGCCACTGCTGCCGCGAAATGCAGAGGTTGCCTCAAGACTCAAAATGAAAAATCCTCAAGGGAGTCGCAGTGCCCTACCCTACCAAAACCTTTCAAGCTAGAAGTTTTCTCCACAAGTACCTGCAGCATCCAGCTTCTGGCGGAAACAACCATCATCCGAAAGTAAGTTTAGCTTCGGAACTGCAGCCAAGATACAGACGAGAAGATTAATGTTCCTTTCTTTTTCACTGCAAATTCTCCACTGCCCTCAGATGCCAACATCCCTGGCAACACAGCTTGTGAGCACAGCAGGGCCCCAACACATGAGGCATCGAACGAGCTTTTGAACGTCTCAGGATCAATGTCCAGAATGGAAATGCCAAATCCGCCACCTCCGCAATTGTAGATGAGCACGTCAACCTGAGGAAAGGGCAATCTGCCAAACTATTTTTGCCTGTCTCTCTCTCTCTCTCTCTTTCTTGGCAAAACAGAACTGCACCCCAACGGCAAATAAGGAAACCAGAACAAGTAGCCGAAATGAAGACATGATACGACTTTTTGATACGGCTACATTTCTTGGTCACCTGGTGACTTCCGTGCCCTTGGTGCTTTTCAAACCTTTCTGGCGAGCCTTGCCAAGTTCTTTGGCGACTCTGTCAAAGGCTGCTTGCACTGAGCTTTTCTCCGTGGCATTCATTTCATAGAATCCATAGCTTGCACCCATGGCCTTTAATTTCTCCTCCAAAAAACTGCAATGTTCTTGTATTTTTGGCATGCCCATATTCATGTCTACCCAGAAACATATCAGCAAAAGAGTATGAACCCCTCATTCTCCGGACATTCCCATCCCATCCTCTGTCGGCAGAAAGGTAGCAGCTGTTCTGCACATCCCTGCAATCTTGTAACCAGCCTTTGCAAAGCGGATCGCAGCACTGCCCCCCATGCCTGGCCCACAGCCAACCACAGCACACACACTTGCCATGGCGGATGATACTTTGGGGCCTACGATTGATAAAACTACAGGATAAAACCGTTGAGTCAAAGTAGACTGGCGGATGTCATGAAGTTGTTCCAACTGTTTTCAACGGAGCAAAAAGGGCCTTGACAAACACGACCTTTGTACAACTGACCACATGCTCTGCATTTCTGAACATACAAATGGTAGTTCTGACGAGGTGCCTGTCAGGGGGGAATCCCAGGAAAAAAACGAACAGTTCATGTTCATCTCTCATGTCAGTGGCTACTTCTACGCAATTGCAACAGCCTGGATAGCCGCCCCCGGCACCTGCTGACTGCAATCATTCACTGATTCCTTCATGTTCTTGCGGGCAACCACGTATTACACTTGTTCCATATGTTTCATATGTTCTCTGCCTCTTGCAGTTGACCTTGGCAAGCGAGTTGGACAGCCAGCAAGTTCGTGCAAATAAATGCGAAAAGGGCAGCTACGGCAAGCGATGCCGATTTTATTGTTTAACACATTTTTTTGACTTAACGAATAGGAGAGGTGACAGCTCACTGTCTATGAGTCTATGAGCCTTAGAATCTTGAGGAACATTGGATACATGTGTGGTTCTTATGTTTTGAAACAAAATGTTTGAAAGGTTTCTGGTCCAATGTGTGACCATATTTCGACCCCAACACCCTCCCCCAACAAACAGCATATGAGTTAAGATAGGCCTTGCCTATCCCCAGATATAGGTTCCGCCCGCCCGCCATCCAAAATTATCACAAAAGTTTTTGCAAAAAAAAACTTACCACAATGATGTTCATCCTAAATTTATACGACACCTATGGTTTAAAATGCGCACTTTTTCCTGACACTCAAAACGGCTGCAGTGAAGTCATGTGCACACTCAATGATAGAAGCGGTGCTGCACATCTATCTATACATCTAAGTCACGGTCTTCATGGAAAATGGTTCGCACTCCTTCTTGGCACTGTGAAACTGTAAGATGCTTCTTTGAGTTCACTTTGCCACCATAGTCCATTTTTCCCCAACAGCAGCATAGGATACCAAAAGGTTAGCAAGGTGAAAGGCAACAGCAGGAAGCGCAATGAAATAGACTTGAGGTATGATGACGTTTCCTTGACTGTCGATTGGGAACGTTGCGGGAACCTTGCAGGAAACTTGCGCCAACCTTGTGGAAACCTCGTGGGAACCTTGAAGCAAAGCTGTGGGAACCTTGGAAGAACCTTGTGGGGCAAAGTTGTGGAACGATGTTGTGGGCACGTTGGAAGCCTTGTGGAGCAAAGTTGTGGGAACCTTGCCTTGCAAAAAGTTGTGGGAACTTTGTAGGAACCTTGAAGCAAAGTGGACAAAGTTGTGGGAAGCTTCTGGGAACCTTGCAGCAAAGTTGTGGGAACCTTGTGGGAACCTTGGAGCAAAGCAGCAAAGCTGTGGGAACCTTGGGGCAACCTTGGAGCAAGGTGGCGGGGACTTTTGGTCCCTTGTGGAACCTTGGAAGAGCCTTGAGGGGCAAAGTTGTGGAAACCTTGTGGAAACCTTGGAGCAAAGCTGTGGGAACCTTGGTCTTGGGGCAACCTTGGAGCAAAGCTGTGGGAACCTTTGGTCCCTTGTGGGAACCTTGTGGGAACCTTGAAGCAAAATGGGGACGCTTCTGGGAACCTTGCAGCAAAGTTGTGGGAACCTTGCGCGAACCTTGGAGCAAAGCTGTGGTCTTTTTTTGCACGGGTGGAGGCGCTGTGTGTGCCGAGAGGCACAAGTCACCTTGATTGAATTAAATAGGGATACTAAGGAGATACGAGCCAGGCACCAGAACAAGGCACAACACAACAAAACCAACCAACAAACCAAAAAAAACAAAACACAAACAACCAAAGCAGCAAGGTTCGTATCTCTAATGGGCTGTATAAGCCGAAGCAAAAGTAGAGTGAAAAACGGTGAGACGGGACTCTGAATTCGTTCTTCTACTTGCGCTCAGTACATGATGGTCAGGCAACGGTGATATTCCTTTCTGCGGGCAGTGAGTATTCTGTATGGCAATGATGACCATCGCCAATGTGTGCGAAAGGCACCCAAGAATGTGCAGAAGAAGTGGGAGCGTTTTCGAACAGTCGCAGTTGCAGCTCGGCAGTGTCTGACTTATTTCAAAGAACACGGCCTTGCACGCAACAGCATCGGCTTAGCTCGCATTAACGCCTGAATGGCACTTGCATTGGTTTCGCACAAGTATTTTGTACTTGGATTGCGACGATTGAGGTTGAGGCAGGTGACAACCAGTTTTGTCTCCGACTCACTGTGATCAAAAATCCCGAGAAATTTGTGGAGAGCACAAGATGGTAGAGTGTAGTCAACCATGCTACGACAACCATGCTACGACAGGGTGGTGAAGGCTGCCGAGAGCGTCAAACTATCGAAAGCCATGACCTGCAAGGGACCTGCAACAGATCGACAGACCGAGAGATCCTACTGCGGCAGCCCCCCCGCCCCCCTAATGGGGGAGGCAGAGTCATGTGTTCGCTCCATGCTATGGCTCCAAAATGGACAAGAGGAGCGACAGCGACGAGGCAATGCGACAGTGCGTAAATCACAGACGAACGATTTGCAGATAGCACGCAATCGGCTAACTGCCTCGATATGCTCACCATCTCTAATTGTGATTCGAGCGCCCTTGAACTAATGAGGACACGCACGCCCCATAGACTACGTGAAAAGGTGAAACGCC